CCTAAATTATTCCAAGGGCCGGGCACCAGTGGCTCACACCTGTCATCCTAGCTACTCAGGAGGCTGAGATCTGAGGATCACTGTTCAAAGCCAGCCTGGTCAGGAAAGTCCTGGAGACTCTTCACCTCCAATGAACCATCAGAAAACTGGAAGTGGTGCTGTGGCTCAAGTGGTAGAGCGCTCACCTTGAGCTGAATTGCTGAGGGACAGCGCCCAGGCCCAGAGTTCAAGCCCTGTGGCCAACAAGGACAAGAACAACAACAAAAAAGATTCTAAGGCTGGAGGGTCAGCCCTCAGCCCACTACGGATCAGCTCATGCTGACCCTCTCCTGTGTGATAGTGAACTTCTACCGCCGGCTGGGCTCCGGGACTTGGCCGTTCTAAGATCAGAATGGATGTCTAATCACCTGGCCTGCAGGAGCTCAGGCCTCCCTCCCTCAAAGCCTTCTCTGGGCCCTGCATTCCCCTTCTCCCCAGGACACCGTACCACCCTTGCCCCAACCAGCAGGGAGCCAGGGAGCACCCACAAAACCTATCACCCCATTCCTTCCCACCCCAGCGGCCAGCGTGACCCGTCCACTCTGAAGACTGGGCCTGGCTCCCGGACGGAGCACCCTACGCCCCACCTGCTACTCCTTGTGCGGAGTCGGGGTGGGCTACCCGCGGGGGGGGGGGGATTGTGGCTCTCAGGTCTTCCCCACACGTGTGACCCCGGCTCTGCATTTCCCTCTGGGCAATGTGCACCCACCCCAGCTCTCCTGGCCCCCTCCGGGAAACACCCCCTTTGTCCTGCTGAGCCCCGGCCCATCCACCTGCAGCTGGCTGGCCAGCTTCGTCAAAGGTGCTTGGTCCGGACCCGTGGGGCTGCCCGAGGCAGGTGCTCTGGGAAGAGGCGCCACGTGGAGAGCGGAGGTCACAAACATTTCCACTGTGTGCCGGAGGCTTGGGAGGCGCTGGGAGGAAAGGCAGTGAGCGCGGCCCGGAATTCCTCCTGCTCATGGGCACCATTCTCCAGCCCTGCCCCAGAGGAAGGGCCTGCCAGCAGGGCGGGGTGGGGCTCGTCAGGAGAGGGCTGGAGGCTGAGACTCTTGCTGAGCTGCGCCTGCGCTCTGGGCCCCAGGGGCGCCTCGTGTGGGGTTTCAGGTTTCACACGGCCTGGCTGTGTCCCCAAGGCTCGGTGGCCACAGGCTTCTGTGGTGGCAGTGAGGTGTCCCCCTGCTACGTGTGAGTAATAAAACCCCAGTGCAAAGGTCCTGGGGTGCCCGGACAGCCCAGCGTGTCAACACCAAGAAACAACATGGTGTCACTGTCTGGACTGCTGACAACAAAAGCAGCCCCAAAGAGAAAAACAAGAGCACCAGCCACCTGCCCCCGTCCTGGATGAGATGCCAGCAGAGGCGAGTCCTCCAGGGGGCTGGCAGCTGGCTCTGCCCACACTCAGGCCCAGGGGCGTCCCCCTGCGGAGCCCACAACCCCGGCGCTTCACGCACACACACCCCGCGTCCTCACGCCTCCTCCGGCGGGCGAGGACTCCTCCCGCGTCTCCTCCTGCGGGCTCTGGGCCTCTCCCACGCTCACCTCTGCAAAGGCCTGGTGGACTCTCAGGCAGGGAGGGCTCAGACTGGGGGTGCCCCCGTCCGGCACCCACACATTGCCTAACTCGTAGGAAGCTGGGTCCTGGTCAGGGTGGTGGCTCTGGACCGGCTCGTGGCCGTGGCCTTGGAGGACAGGCCGCCATGAGGTGCTGGCCACAGCGAGGTTCTGCACCCCAGCCTGGGCCCAGCCCCGCCCGGGCTCCTGAGGACCCTGACAGCACAGAAGTCCTCACCACGCTGCTGAACTTCGCTGTCAGGTCTGCGCACGCGCACGCGGGCCTGCCTTTCCACCCAGGCCGCCCCTCAGATTACGCGTTCCCATCAGCCCCCTCGCTTCTGGGCTCAGAGTAAGCACAGCCTTCTTCCCCACACGACTTTCTTTTTTTCTGTTGGTTATGAGGCCTGAACTAGGCCTGGGCGCTGCCGCTCAGCTCTTCAGCTCAAGGCGAGCGCTCTACCACTTGAGCCCACAGTGGCACTTCCGGTTTTCTAGTGGTTTATTGGAGATAAGAGTCTCACGTGGACTTTCCTGCCCAGGCTGGCTTTGAACGGTGATCCTCAGATCTCAGCCTCCTGAGTAGCTAGGATGACAGGCGTGAGCCACCAGCACCCGGCCCCACACTACTTTTAACCAGTGACCACAGAGCCCAGGGAACCAAATGATTGGTCCATTTTCAACAAGTTTACAACTGATGGATGAACAAAAAGTTGATTGATCATTGATGTTTAAATGTGTACACTTACTGTTCAGTAAATTGGAAGCTAACAAATACTCAAAAGGCAGCGTGTCCTACTTTTTTTTTTTTTGGTGCTGTACTGGGGCTTGAATTCAGGACCTCAGTTTTGTTGCTCAAGACTGGTGCTCTACCACGTGAGTCACACCTGCAGTTTCTGCTTTTTGCCGGTCCATTGGAGATTGGAAACTTTTTTTTTTTTGGGTCCGGTCATGGGGCCTGGACACTGTCCCTCAGCTCTTCAGCTCAAGGCTGAGGCACCACTTCCCACTTCCGGGTTTTTTCTTTTTTGCTTATGTGGTGCTGAGGAATCGAACCCAGGGCCTCATGCATGCAAGGCAAGCACTCTACTACTGAGCCACCTTCCCAGACCCGGAGATCCAAATCTCTTGAGTCTGTCCAGCTTCCATGGCAGTGCTCAGCTCGCAGTCTCCTGAGTAGGATGACAGGGCCAGGCATTCCCTGGGGCTGGCCTGGCGGAGTGCTCTGATTGGTGTGCCAGGCCGCCCTGAGGTTGAAGCCACAGGTAACCAGGTGGGACTGCCCGCCCGTAGCCCTCCCTCCCACCGGCCTCCTGCCAGGCCTCGCCCCGCCCCTGACCCCTGAGTGCCTGCCCAGCTCCCTCCCTCTGGAGCCAGCAGCTTGGCCTAGGCCTCAGCCTTGTGGGTTTTGGAATAACCCACCTTCCCGGCGCTCCCTTCCCCCCCTGGCTTCCCCCAGCGCTGTGAGGCAGAGGTGACACCGGGAGGGAACCCCCATAGCGCTCCCCAAAAGGATTTAAGGCAGCGGTGTGGGTGGGGCGGGGCGCCAGCGGCCGGGCCTGCTCCTGGACGGGGCCGCCCTGCAGGCCGATTAACCAAGGCAGATGGACCGACGGACGCTGGGTCTGGAGGGCCCCAGTGGCCCACGGCCCTTGGACCCTGCCCCAGGGCCCTCCTCCCCCGTCCCCTTCCCCTCTGGGCTGCCCACCCCTGTCCTTTGCAGCGGGGTGATCGGCCCCTCAGTGCCCAAGTGCCAAGGTACGGCATCCGCACCGCCTCCCCGGCGCCCCGCACTCGGGGGACAGCCTAGGGTTAGACGCGTGGGGGGCACCGCAGGTGCAGGCGGGGTCCCCGCACCCGAGCCGGGGCGGGGGCAGACGGGGGCAGACGGCGGCG